CATCGCTACTAGTAACAAGTGCCTTACTAGTAGTAACAAAGAAGCTAACAGGTGCAAAACCGCCATCCACCGATGTCGAAAACCTTCCAGCGATCCCTCGGGACTGTTGCTCGGCCTTCGGGGCCTCTCGGGGCTTCCATGCGACGTGCGACGGTCTGTGTTTGGTTTTTGTTGTTTGAGGGGTCGGTTTTCCCCCCCCGATGGGGGAAGATTGGCTAGCTTGACTGCTTGGAAAGACACCATATCCAACCATGAAACATCCCTTAAAGATACTTGTAATGCTTCTATCCAATCCCATGTCCTGCAGCCTGGAGTGCCTTGATGTAAGAAGTGCTCGCAACAAATGCACAAAGAGGAAGGAGACCTTTCTTTTGACTTTGGACCATGTGCTGACAACCCTGTCTTGCTTGTCTGTGCAGCACTGATATTGCCTTCAGCCCGCTTCGAACCGAAGAGAAACGCGGTCTTTGGCACTTGAAACCATCACCATGACTGCTCTTGAGTTCATCTTGGATAGATGCTCCAGAAGTGAAAATGCACAACTAAAGATGTGAAATGTGAAAAGTTCCAATCCATACAAATCCAGGCCCTCCACCACACAACGAGCAAGACATGTCTCCCTGCTAGGACTTAGTGCTGTGACACACTGTGGTATTGCAGGCTGAGGCGTCAAAACTTGCAACTGGCCAGAAAACTGCCGTTCACATCAATCCGTTCTGATTCGAAAGAAACACGCTTCAATCTGCTACCTGACGGCCGGCCCAAGGGCCGCCTGACAGATGCGGCCCGATGTTGTCTCTTCTCTCTGCGAAGAAATGTCTCTTCTACAGTCCACTGAGTGGGGGCATTCTCAGACAGCTCACAGCCCACAACTAGGTTCACATTCTGCACCAATTCTGCACGACAGTCAGGGTTTCAGAAAATGTCGACTGAGCCTGAGCTGCTGTGGAAAATCGTTCGACATGGCCTTTGGCCACCTTAACTGGCCTGCTCGAGTGCCCTCCAGGCCTGAGCTGCCGGTCCTAGCATTGTCATTATATAACGATTGTCTGCCTCCTCTTCAGAAAAAATATTGTTGTCCACATCTTCATCTCAGGTGTCTGAGACATGTCCTTCTCATGTGTCTTTTCTTGTTCTGGTCTTGACGGCTATCAGAATCCTTCTCTCGACTTGGGTCCCTTCAGCTTTGAGCGAAAAACACCTTCTCCGTATTTCTCACCCCGCTGAATGTAAAACGAAAAGGAGGCAGCCGTTCGTTGTACATGAATTTGATGGTCCAGTGAGCGTTGATCAGTTGGATCATGCTAAACACGCTTCCTTGTGCGCCTCGGTGCTGTTCATTCCTGGATTTCCAGACAAAATATCCCCAAGTCTCCCCAGTATCCATTTCCTGCGAGGATGTTCAACCCACCTGGAATGAGCTGTCACGAGATCCGGCACAATGTCGGCAAAAGCAAAAAATGCACCAGTATCTTGCGGTGTGCTTCGCGGAGGAAGACTGACTCCAACCCGCGATACCAAATCTTGATCGCCATGTACAAGTCACTACAGGCTTGCAGGCTTCAGGAGTCAAAAGTCTGTGGCTTGAAGTCACGCTGTGTCACTATACGCTGTGTCAATGGAAAGACCGCATCAAGAACCCCTCAGGTCTACAAATTCTGAAACATTTCAACCAAATCGTCTGAAGACACCTTAACCAACGGGAGGGACCATGAAGACAAACATCTCTTCACTGTTGGTGTGGACAGAATCAGATCTGCGTTTCATGACCTTGACATGTCATTTCTTCGAGCCGAAGACGTGGAAGACTCCGAAGCTGTGCCGTTGGGGAGAAAGACAACATGCTGAGCAGGGTTTAGACACCATACAAAGCACATGTCCGGCATGGGATGAGGTTGGTCACCACTGGCAAAAAAAGATCGAAAGTTCCGTTTCGAGTGATTTCCAAAAACCTTCCAAGCTCCATCCCAGGAGAGTTATCAGGATCAACACCTTAAGCCGCTCCGATGGGCGCGGCGAAGCGGCGGACGTCATGGAGATGTTGTCCCCGATGGCGGCCAGCGCACGCCGCAGGGGACGACTCAAAAGTCGCATGAGATGATGGCCTCGCAGCGACTCGTTCGCGAACGATGTTAGGCGAGTTAGAGCATGTTGTTAGAGCTTCAAAGGGCAACTCGGCAAAGAAGTGTGACTAGAAAGGAGAACATGGAACAAGTATCGAAATGTGTCTTTGATAAAACAGTTTTTCCTTGTGGCAGTGCTCATCACCCTGACAGTCTGACATTCCCGTCAATGTCAATGTTAAATTTTCTACTCGATTGCCGAGAAAACACAGGGCAGTAGGAAAGGACTCATGCAAAAAAAACAAAGAAAAGACACACTGCTTACAACGCAAAGCACACACAAGAAACACCCCTTCAATTTGGGCCAAAAGCGCAATGAATATGGCCCACACAAGGGCACGGTTGAAGTGTACAATGCAAAAGCCGCAGTCAAGAAGAGACCACATCAAGGACTCAGTTGATCCAAAAATACAATTCCGTTGACCCACTGAGATGACATTTCTTCAAGTCCGACCTCTTCTGTCTCTTTTCTGTCACTTCCAAGTCTGAGCGAAGACCCGTCCTCCCGCGGAGTCTCCGTGGTCTCCACCCTCTCGCTCTTCTCGCTCTTCTCGCTCTTCTCGCTGACACTGGGAACCTGGCCGGCGAGAAGGACAACCAAGTGCGGTCTCGAGACGGAAAAGGCATCGATCGAAGGAGTGCCTCCACAGAGCTGCCAGGAGGATAGCACCCCGAAGCATATGTTCCTGCAATCGCGGCATGAAAGTAGCATGCAAATAATCAAAAGTCCAACCTTCATCATCTTACCGACTGGTACAGTTTCCACACTCATGCTTCATCGTGGGCAATATATGGACGCCTTTACGAGTCGTAACCTGCAACACGGCAACCGAGCTCAGTCGGCAAGACAGAAAGAGCCTCTATAAGTCTCAATATGACCAATGGCAACCAAATGGACCAAAGAAACGAAATGCACATGGCCCATGGCCAAATCCAATGCTGAACGTGTCGACCTCGGCAGTTTCCTATGCTATCGACCGTCTGCTATCGAGTGCTTCGCCTGGCCCATCCAGGCCTTGTTCCTCCACCTTGATGGCTCTTCGCGAGTACTCTTTCAACGCTCGCTCCTGCACGATGCCTCAGGAAAAGCGACGGCGCAGCTTCCAAACTTGGAAAACCAACAGCTCAAGTGGCGCAGGAAAACACCAATGGCAATCGTGCCACGACCCGACATAAACACAAGAGGTTTCAAGTTCATGTACATCTCTGCGCCAACGGTGACTTGATTCAGAAGTGTGGTTGCAGCTTGCCGTGTCCTGCATTACTCAATCGTTGGCATGGTTCAGACTTGTGCCTACCAACAGCCGCATATTGGATGTTGGAGGCTCTAAAACCATCTTAATGTAAGCTGGCTCTACCTTGTGATCCACTTGCATGCTCAGAACCCAGCAACGCCCTGTGTGATCACACACTTGCACCCAACATGAGCAGTGCTGCTGACGCCTCGTGTTTTTGATCGCGTCAGGCATGGGCTCGAGCGATCCTGAAGTCCTTTGAAGTTGAATGACACAGCTCTGTGACGACACAGCTCGTCCCTGGGAAAACAATCCAAGTGTGAACTCCAATCAAAGTGAAAGCTGCAGAGACGTGAGCTGCGTCAGAACGATCACACCTCTCCGGGCAGCGAGGTCCCGTGCACCGAAGTCGGCCCGGCCCTTCAGTTGGGAAGGCCAGTCAGGGGGGCCAGTCTCATCCGTGGAAACACGATCGATGAAACACAACAAAGTTAAAAGATCTTAACAGATCAATCACAGACATCTGACTTGCTCCAGCCGCCGTAGCCCTTGATCAACACAGCCTCAACAGCTTCAGAGTCAGTTAGCAGATCGCCGAAAGTTTCCAAAAGGCCACCGCAGGAGCCAACGTTTCAATGGGAATGATCCGGGCCTCAGCAACCTACAATCAAACAAGCAAGCCCCCCCTGGATAGCTTGAGCCCAAGGTGCCGTGGTTGATTTGGTGACTTGTTCATCGATGTGAATTGGATCTTGCTGGTTGATACCTTCCACCTGGCTCCAGCGTTCGAAGTGACTTAAAACATCATCGGAGGTGTCTCTTGGATCCGGAGCGAACCCATCTGTGAAGATCACAACGACTGCTGAGCTTCACTCGATGGTCCGGCATGGTCCGAGAGCCTTCTGAGCCTGAGGTTGTGCTCCTTCCTCCATCAGCCATGCGTTCCTGATGAGTCTCCTTAGTGCTCTTTGCTTGAACCTCTGACTGCCAGTGCTGCGGACTCTGAACCCTGAACAGTTTTGACCCTGTTCAGATCAACCACGGCCGGAAACTCTAGATCAAGTGGAGATCGTCAGGACCCAGCCCGCTGGTGTCCAGCTCGCTAAGTTCTCTGGGTGAACAGCCCTCGATACTTCCAGAGCTTGTTGGCGTAGAAATGGCGGCAGATTCCCGACATGGCTGCACACCGGTTCTGACCTGAGAACACACCCCTACCAGGCACGGGCTCGTCCACTGGGCCCGGCTGCACGAAGATCACGGGCGGATGAGCCTCGTGGGCGGATGAGCCTTCTGCATACAGCACCTTTCCCTCCAGATGGTTGAAACCAAGAGGTTTGCTGATAAACAGATTGCGATGTATGCGACACTGGGCCCGGCTGGTCACCTTCTAGCCAAAATTGCATGCGACACGGTGGATCACACGCTTGACATAGAAAGGACATGTCGGCCGAGCAGTTGAACAGAGTAACTCCCTTATTCCATAGCAACACAACCCCAAAGAAGGAACCAGTACTGTGCTCAGAAGAAAGTACATCATCCTGCATGGGAACAGACTGCCGTTCCGAACAAGTGTTTCGCTTCCAACTTCATCGGAAGCTTGCAGTTTGCAACCGCTTCATCGCTTTCCAGTTCTTTGGAATCGGAAAAAAATAGGCATAATTATATACATATATAGTTGGAGGTCATATGTCCATGTTTCGGAGATGGTTTTTCAATTTCTGTGGGTTCGACTGTTGCTGGTATTCTACAGCGTTTTGGACCCTTGTGTTGACTTTCGGCTGGCAATCACAGCGTTTTGGACATCATGTGGACTTTTCCACTGCTATCTACAACATATTGGGTGAACGGGGCGGGCTTGCCCGGAAATCACAGCACTTGCATTCATATTAAGCAGTGTCACCCGTTACAGAATTTTGTCATCAGTCTTACGACAGTGTCATTGAATTGAAAAGTTTGGAGCCTCAACTCGCACCCGGTATCTACATTTCGGAAGTGAGCAGCTCCAAGATGAGGATGCAAGGCACCAAAGGTCCTTAAGTACCTGTACATACAGTGTTTTCTTGACGCTACAATTGTGACTCCCTTGCTCAACATGTTGGGCGGTGGGTGTGAAACTTGGTGTGGTACTTACAGCACTTTTGAACCTCATATGGTCAACTTCCATTGCTTTTACAAGACTTGGGGCCAGATGGAAAAGCACACAGACCTTTGGTAGAGTTGGGTGGTTAAGGTAGTTGCATGGTTTCTGAAGGATCCAGAAAGCGGAACAAACAAAAGATCTAGGTGAGACACCTAAAGTATCCTAAGGTGATCAAGTATCCTATGGTTTGCTTTGGCTGGCTCGCTGTTTGTTCCGGGTTTGGTTGATTGTTCAGGTCTTAGCGTGGAACGAGCAAACTGCACTCCTGCCTTCCTTCCTTCCTGCCTTCTTTCCTTCACGAAGCAAGCACGGGAAAGCACAGGCAGGCAGAAAGCAAAAGAAGGAAAAGCAAAAGCAAGAGAAGAAGAGCAAGAAAGCCGGAAACTGACATGTAAAAAGCACCTAAAAGCAACCAAACATGTAAAGAAGGACTCTTGAGCCCTCTGAGAAACCATTTCGGAGCACATGGCAAAACGAGAATTCCTTGGACTTCCAAGGCACTGAATTCCTGCCGCAGGAGGTTCTGGTTTTGCTCTGGGCTGACAGCCCAAGCAAGGATCTTGTACAAAGGCCCCCTCAGCCCCCACGAGCGATGAGTGGAGCGCGCTTTGCGCTACGACCTCTCCCACCCTCTTGGTTTTTCTCTCCACCCCCTTCCGGCGAAAATAGATGAAAATAGTCTAATTCATGGAAAAAGGACTTTCTCAACTAGCAAAGGGAGTAGCTCCGTTCAGTCAGCGCCGATGTCGCGACATCCGCGACAACAACGCCCAGAGCGTTCACGCGAGGTCGAACATGGCCCTTGTCACCAAGGCTCAAGGCGCTTGCAAGCTCTTCAGTGTGACATCCTTGCGACGTTGCGACGCCGCTTCCGCTTCCGTGAAAAGCGGCCGCTTTCGAGCGGAAACCGTTTGGGCCTTCTGCAGGGGACGAGATGGTTTCGTTTTCGGTATCGTCAAGATGGTGGTCGTGCTCGCCTGGTGCAATGGCCTGGATCAAGTTGAGCTCCTCAGGCGAGAAGATTTTTCCATCTTGGAGATCTTGGTAGTAGTCCTCATCAGGTCAAAGCCACTAGTGGAAGGATTCTCTGACGCCCCAAGTGCTTCTCAACACTGGTACAATATCTCTGGATTCTTAGTCCTCTTCGGGCTTCCAAAAGGACTCTTGGCTCAGCACTGTCAGCACACCCATTCCTGGCGAGCAGATGCTGTCGAACAAGAGTCTGCAGTCTGGAAGGAAAAGGACCATTCCAGAAGGTCTAACATGCTCTAGCTACATGAAAATCCGCGTTTTGTTTTACAGCACTGCACGATTCTCCCTCTCCTGTGCGTTTGATCGTGGCAGCAGCTGACACGGCAATTGGATCCCATGGAAGTCCTTTGGACATCAGCACCTGACAACGACGGTCACGCACCAGGTCTTGGCTTTGTCAACGCGACACGCGACGCTTGCGAGCCAAGCGGCCACGGCCACTGCCTTCTGTTTGATGGGAAGCAATTCGGAGAAGTTACCTTGCGCTTTTTGAACGCCGAATTCAAAAACCAAGTGTCCAAGTGTTTCAACCCTGTGGAATGCTTGAAAATAGGCATGAGTTCAACAAAGAGAAAGTGAACTATCTGATATTGAGGTCACTTCCGTTTTGATTGTTACTATTTCATTACCCAAATGTGCTTTTTGGTGCAATTCCCACGACGAAGCAAAAACGCAGACCTTGAAGTTCCTCTGGTCCGTCGTAGATGCGAGATCTGGATCGTTGGTGAAATCCTTTCACGGAAGATCTGGATCGTTTGGCGAAGCTACTAGGGTGGAGGCCATCGCTATTGGGTTGGAGGCCATGACTATACTAGAAGCAAGAAGCTTCCAGTAACAAAGGCCATCGCTACTAGGAACAAGATGGAACCAGTCATCGTTGGCCGTTCATGGCCGTCTTCATCCTTCTTTCTACGCATGGCTACCCCAGTTTTCGTACATCAAAATCTCGGGCAAAGGAAAACCTGTTGGCCATCTCCGCTTCGCCTGGAAGAAGGGGCGTTTCTTCGCGCCTTGTTACGTGCCGTACGTGACGAATCGCGGTGTCCTGATGATCCGCAGAAGAGGATCGAGTTCCATCCCTGCTGTCTGAAGAGGTGCCTCAACACAGCGCACATGTCCTCAGTCCTCCAAACGAGGAATGGTTCTTCGATGTTCTTTCCACAAAAATGCCTACCCCACAAATCCGGAATCTAACACACAATTGCTAGCTGCTCGAAACAAATCATGATAAGAAGCAGGCCTGAAACCTCAGAACAAGACATTCGGTATGACATGGATGCTGAAAGACTGCTTAGACTGCTTGCTTGCTTGCTTAAGGCTCGAGAAAAGCAATCGAAACGAAGAAATACATGGCCCATGGCTTGGATGTTTGGTGTTGGGCCCAGAAAGTCTCAGAGTCCACCAGCAACGCTGTCAACCAGCCTCAATTGGAACGCAACACTGCATTGAAAGTCGTCTCGGGTGTTGAAGACGATGTAAACCACCTGAAGAAGGGAGAAGTCTTGCGCAACACTGGAGGCCCTCATATCCAAAAAGTCCTGAAGAAAAGAACTTCATTCAAGTTCCAAATCAGGTTTCTTTCCAAGCCTTCTCTGAATCAAGCGGCACCACTTTGGGCTTCTTCATGAAGCCCAGCAACTCCTGCGTCCCGGCTCCGAAACGGTGGTCAGTGTCCAGGAACCACGTGTTCGTCTTCGTCTTCCACAAGACCGCTCCTTCCCAGCCGCTTTCATGACCGAGTCCAGCTGCATGGTTTCATCAGGAATGTTCAAGTAGAAGGTGGTCCTGGGAATGTGAAACGATCAAAGAAAGAAAGAAAGGATACACAGAGGATGTTGAGAACCCACTTCATCATGCTTCAACGCTAAAAATGCATGCCTCCTTCCTTCCTTCCGTCCTTCCTTCCTGTCTTGTCTTGTCTTGTCTTGTTTTGTATTGTCTGTTCTTTTCTTTTCTTTTCTCTTTTCTGTTCTTTTCGGTTCTTTTCTTTTTTCTATTGTTTTTTCTTTTATTGTCCTTTCTGTTCTTTTCTTGCCTCCTTCTTTCCGACCTGTCCTTCTGTCCCGTCCTTCCCGTTTCCCTCCTTCTCCGTTTGCTTTCAGTGCTATGTGTCATATGACTCAAGGCTCAAAGGAATATGACGCGCAACACGCCAGGTCGGGTCGCAGGACCTTGACTCTTGGGACCAGCGCCACATTGTGACGCGTGGCGCTACGCAAACAAAGCACCTGTGAAAGTCTCGGTTGACCGCGTTTCCAAGTATTTTTAAGCTCTCCTGCTCATTGTTGCCAAGTACTGATAGGCTTTGTGGAGGTCCTGAAAAAGAAGGCGCTGAGCGACACGATGCGACAGGCTGCGTGGTTTGGAGAAGCAAAAAGAGTCCCTGCGTGGTTTGGTCGTCGGAAAAGGAAAAGCACTCGGACAAACAACGGCACGTGAACACTTTCAGCAGAAGTCTTCCCCCCTTTTGTCAGAACAAAAAGTAGCCCATGCCAATTGTTTTCCGGGTTGGCTCTTCTTCCTTTACTTTCTTCCGTTTCTTTCTGATTTCTTCCCTTGGGTTTGCAACGGTTTGTATCAACAATGTCTGACGGCGGACGCTGCCCGTCCTGAACCGTGATGCCTGCCTTGGCAAAGATTCCTTTGTCGGCGGCGGTGAAGTTCTCCACCACGTCCGTGATAAAGTCATCGGATAAGTCCACGTTGTCCTTTTCGTGTCGGTTGAGGCGTTGCTGTCGGTTGACCACGAGGCGAAATTCTTTTACCTGGAGGCCTATGTCTCCTGTTGCGGATGGCTATGAAGCTGCTTTTCACGTGGATTCCTCTCGACGGAAAAAAACTTTAAGTTCGGGGCACAGGTCTGAAAATGTTGGATCAAAATCAAATTGTCTGTCACCCTTCCGTGCACAGTTGGGACCAGTTTCTGAGAAAGAGTTCAAACGAGTGATTGTTCAGTCTGTCACCTTTGATCAATCGATGTTTCGATGCTTCAGCTTTCGTCTGGACAAGCAGCCGCATTGATCTGCACCACGCCCAGTGGAACCTGCAGCGCAAGCCAGTTGCAGCCACGCCCAGTGACCCACAAATTCACCACACTTTGGTACAACTTGTTGTTTGCACTTTGCTAAAGCCGTTTGGTCATCCACACTTTGGTAAAACAGTGAATCGAAATCACATCGACAATGTCTGGTGAAATCGAAACGGCGTCGGCCGTAGGCACCTTATTCAAGTAGGCAGTTCCAATTTCCACCGCACACCATGGACGACGCAGCACATCACCTGACAGCGTTGTTGAGCGAAACGAGATGATGGGCATGTGCCCAACGCGAGGCGGAATGTGGGACTCAGACCATTCTTGGCTGATAAAACCTCAAGACATCGAACTTATTTAGCATTCTAGGAGAGTCTGTTTGAGGTCTTTCAATCGAACAATTCATTCAAGATCAGAGGGAGCGTGGTCGTTTTCGCCATCAAATACCTTGGAATAGCAAGAATAGATGTCGTCTTTCTGCGAGTTTTTCCTCCAAAGCACTGGTCAGCATCACCAGGAGTTTCCGCGTGTGTTTCACGGCGAAGCTCAGGTTGTCCAGGTTGTCGAGTTCCTTTTTGCGAGCGCTGCGGCGCTGTACGGAACCGAGAAGCGCTTTGGTCAAGACCCGTACTGCAAAGGTCCAAAATATGCACGAGGGGAAAAATTGCCAATCTCCAATTACAACCGATATGATATATCGATATATATATATAGAGATATATAGCTTTTGTAGCCAGAGGCGCATCCACATCCAAGAAGACGTTCAAAGTGGTGCCTAAAACACAACTGGTGTGACAATGGGGGGCATAGAAGATTCGCTGCCGTCAGAGCAAACATCATGGACTCATTACACATCACACAGAACATGTCTGCAATTTTTCTGCTGGGTGACACATGTTGAAGAGGGTCTTCAAATGCCTGCGCTGCACACTGCACGCGGCATGCGGCAGACGTCGTTTGCCTTTTGCCTTTAAGCTCCTAGAAGCAAAAGCTCCGCAACTTCTCCAAAGAAGACTCAACACTCCGAGTAGGTTGGAGGCCATCTCTACTAGGGTGGAGGCCATCGCTAATGGGTTGGAGGCCATCGCTATTAGGAGGCCATCGCTGTTAGGTTGGAGGCCATCGTTAGTAGGTTGAAGGCCATCGCTTCTAGGTAGGGGGGCAGAGCGGCCTTGAAAGGATTCCGCATCAAATCACGGTGGGAGGCTGAATTCTTCCACGTGCGGTTTCTGCCAGCCTCGCGGAAAGTGCCGCTGCCGCCTTGTGGTGCGTCAAAAAGACATCATAGGCCGAGCGTTTCCTTAAATGGTTCACCTCAGGCACTTCACACGAACCCGGAGTTAAAGCCAATCTAGCGTGAACGGGATATCAAGCTGTTCGGGTCGCGGAAACACCACTTTTGAAAACAAGACTGTGAAGATCAAGAACTCACCCTGGGAAAGCTGCCAACCTGCCAACGTGGTTTCTTGCATGAAACAAATTTCCTGCCTGAAACATATTGAAATGTGTTGAAACCATCAAGAAAGTTGGGGGGGGACTCCTTCTCCAAAGCGTCCCGCCTTGTGTGCAAACAAGTCACCACTTTGTAGCCTGCCAAAGCAATGAGGAGCCACAAGGTCGCGGTGAAAATGGCAATGATGCACCTCGTCCAAAGAACACAATAAAAAACCTTCGTCCAAAGACCAAGAATGAAAATCATGCATTCTGAATGCATCTTTCGCATATTCGTTTCACTCGTCAAACGGAGAACGATCGCGTGGGCCGACATGGCGAAGTACCGAGGTCCCTGCCAACCAATCATCGCTCGATCCACCGTGTCGTCTGATGCCAGCAAGCCTTGATTCTTCAAACCGCATAAGACTAGTAACAAAGGCATCGCTACCAGAAACAAGAAGCTACTAGTAACAAGAAAAGGTCCCAAGTTTCCAAAGGAATCGATCAGAGTGAATGGCGTCTTGAGGGACGCAGAAAGTGGTTTCACAAATTCGACGCATTCCGAACGACATGTAAAACCTCCGGACACGTTGCATCCGTTTTTCATATCGCGGTCAAATGCTGTGGAATGTTGGCATCATTGGGGAAGTTTGCTCATCTACACCACATCCCAGAGCAGCAAGACATGGTTTGTACATGTTGCACCATGATCTAAGCAAGACTTTAAACAACCAGTCCAGAAGGCTGATTAAAAAATACGAGGGCTAGGTTCACCAGAATGAGTGGAGTCTTGAGCTGGAGGAACAAAGGCTACCCGAATGGGCTCGAATACCCACACCCTGCATTCTCTCTGTGGCACAAGGAAAAAGGATCGGAACAAGGATCGGCCGCGTTTGGTCCTGAATCTGCCGCCAACAGGCCAAAAAAAACAAAGCATCATGATCTGCAGGCCACTCACCTGAAATTCGGGATCATCCAGCACTCTTTGTCTCTCTTTCTCTAGTTGCCTCCCACCTACTAGCGACGGCCTCCAACATACTAGCGACGATCTCCAACCTAATAGCGATGGCCTCCACCCTAGTAGCGATGGCCTCCAACCTAGTAGCGTTGTTTTTCTCTCTTTTTCTAGTTCCCACGATCAGTGGTCTCAATCAAAGCTGAGATTCAAACAAATCAAGGGTGTCGCATGGCGTGTCCCAACAAAAACACATCGATGTGGTGGAATACAAATGACTTGATGACGTAATGGGTCGACTCCACGTGGACTGACTGCATAAGTCGTGGCGTTGCCCGCCATGTCTGTCCATTTTCCAACGGCGCGGCACGACCGTGTCCAGAAGGTTCAGCACATCAAAACGCCAGCACTGGGTCCTGAGTGAAGCACGCTGCAAAGCGAGGTCGAGGATCGAAGTGGGTGCCGCATATATATATATATATATACATATGTTTATATATACCTGAGAAGGGGGAGAGACGAAAGCCAGCCCCCGAGCAGAAAAGCCTGCCCCAGCGACGTAAAATGAGTCAGAGTCATTGAGTAGCTCAGTTGTGAAAGGAGGATGTGCATATCCTGGTAGTCAAGGCGGCGCAAAAGCACCCAGAATCAAAAATACCCGGGACTGGACAATGTGATTCCAAAGACAAAGGCAAAATTCCAAAGTAGCGTGCTACCCACCGGGTAAACCTACCCAAAAAGACATTCTTTGTCAACCTCTTCGCCACACACTCTTGATGAAAAACTCTGTTGAGAGACTCTTCGAACAACACTCTTGGCAACACACGACTTGAATCAGCTGAAACCTGACCCCCTGATTCTTTCAATAAAGGGGAGGTCAGGTTTAGTCCTCGGTCACTTTAAGCTAAAAACACTGTCTGCTTCAACATCTTTGAAGATAATTTTTGTATTTTGCTGCACCGTGACTATCAAGAACCTCGCTATTTCCACAGTTTGCGAACATGTGGATGAAACGCACGACTAGACAGTCATTTGAGCATTGACACGCGCAATCGAGAAGCATGCCGACCGCGGACAATAGGCCCAAGACTTGAAAGGAAAGGTCCGTCTTTCAAGATTGATACAAATTGACATGGTTTCGGACCAAACCTTCGCGATGCCGGATATGCCGGCCGGGGGAGACTGCATTATTGACATGGTGTATTCGTCCATGTGTCCAAAAACAAGACAAGTGGACCAACCCTTTTTTTCCGTTCCCCGACCCTATTCCGAAACGATACCTATTTCAGACCCCCCCACACCCCCCAGATTAGCTGCAGACCCTCCAGCCTAAGCCTTCGGCTGGCTTTCGTACATATATTCGTGCATATCGACATGTCAAAGAAGACATCTCTCAAGTCAAGGAGCTTAGATTGCCCAATGAGCCACAGCACAAAAACAGCTAAGATCAGCGTCACCTGCCCAGGAGAATTCAAGCCAAGCAACACTGTTAGACTTCTAGTGAGTTGGCTTTCCAGACTTGACTCTCTCTCACTCACTCACTCACTCACTCACTCATTCACTCTCTCTCTCTCTCTCTCCCTGTAGCAAACCGTCTGAATTGGAGTCGAGCCAGGAAGCATCCGAAACCTCCTCATCCTCTTCCCATCCAGCTTCTAACAACTCAGTTTAAGTCTGTTCTTTGATCGTTGACTGTCTCAGCACCCTGCCCTACAGCTGCGCGTCTATGTGGAACTGCTTGCAGTTCCATTGCTGACACCACTGAAACACCGCGAACGACGGAAAATCCAACTTGCTTTTGGACCTGAGCTCCGTAGTTGCTGCTGGCAAGGACTGGGGCCAGGGACACCAAGAAATTTCGCACCTGGGCTGCGCGCTGTTCGATGGTCGGTGACCGATTCGGCTGCCCCGGAGAGATCTAATAGCGATGGCCTCCAACCTACTAGCAATGGAGTGGTGTCCAAGTGCCCTGCATTCCACCAGAAACTGAACATCACGTAGTCCTTGACTCGGCAAACCGAAGAGTCTCAGAGAAGCAAAATTCGATCATCTGTTCATCTATTCAATATCGAAAACCAGAAGCCTCTGTGCTTCTTCCGATTTCAGGCAGCCCGTACAAATCGTCAGCACACCAATCCAGCTGCATGTGCTGCCAGGCTTCTGGCTGCATTCGCCCCGTCAGGAATCGCACGGCATTGGTAAACTTCAGTCCATACCTTTGGGGCAGAACGTTCATCCTCTTTCAGGCCAAAGAAGCGAGGTTTTTGCTATGTCCTTTTTCCAAGGATCTGATGGCGTTCATTCAGTTCGAGCGGGTCTTTCTTAGCTTTTCCCCTTTTCGGGTAGGAGATCTCGGGATCTGCGGATGTGGTCCGAACCCGTTCCCAACGTGTTTCAGGACTTCTCCAAGCAACTTCACAGAGAGAGGACCGAAGCAAAGGGACGCATATCCTCAGCCCAGTTCGGGTCAACGCGTAGGCGTGACCCACGAGTGTAGTCGACACACGAAAGGCAACATGATGCCGTCGTGTTGTTTTGGTCCAAGGTGCCGGTCAAAGTGAGATGCATCACAGGGAAGAGGAGGATGGCAAAAACACTCAGAATCACTAGGGTGTTGTGCTCGCCTCCTTCCCAACATACCATCGCACCTCAGATGCTCAGGAGCTGGGGTTTTTTCGGCGACCAACCCGAATCCAACACGCGTCACCGTGGTGACCACAGGCCGAGTCAAAGCAAGACATAGTCGTCTCAGGCGCCGAAGGCTTGCAGAATGGATTTACCATTTGGATTCGATTTGCATCTGAAGCCTTCCAAGCTCATCAGACTCACCTGTCACATGGCTCATCAGCTTCAAAAAGAAACATAAAGCATGTCGCCTCGTGTCGTCTCCACACAAAGCACTGTCGCGCGGAGTCGTCGCGCTCGGGCGCCGCTGCAGTCGTCTTTTCAGCAAGCGGCAGACACAAAGAGCGCAGACATCAAGAAGCCAGCAGAGTTCACAACAGCCGACGCGTTAAAGCTGGCATAGCGCTTCAGCTTCCTTCGCAAAAGGCCGTGAATGCGACAAATGAACCTTTTGGGTGTCCTGCTTATTCTGAAGCGCATTTATTTTCAACAGGTGCATCGTGGTCCATGACTTCAACGGCACTAGCATGCTAGGACAAGATTCGGAACACGTTGAATGACTTGGCCAAACATAAGAATCAACGATTTCAAGCAAAATTGGCTCGCCAACCAAGATAACCAAGTAGGTAGTCCACGGAATTCTTCAGCCAATTCCCTTTTCTCTCTCCGTCGCCAAGTGTCGGAATGAGACTCAAGATGAACGACCCAAAGATCACGGCGCAAACAGTGATGGGAAAGGCAAACAATTTCACCACGTACTCCTCGAGTTTGATAGTTTGAAGCAAGCTCAAGTGCGTTCAGAAAGCATTGTCAGGTGCATGAAATGAATATGAAAAAATGCTGCAAGATATGTGTTTGAAGGTGTTTCTGCAAAAAATGCTTCTAGTAGTGTGGAGGCCATTGCTAGTAGGTCTTCAGAGTCTTCAGAGATGCGAAGGGACATCTCCGGTTGACGCCAAGGGTCTGCAATGAAGGACTTGCGGCCCGTCACACACGAGAAGGAGAGGAAGTCCATGTCCATGCGCAAAAGCCCAAAGGATGGAATGAAAGTGCCTCAAGCACTGGAGGAAACGAATAACAACTGGTGCATCAGGTGCTTCAGCAAAGCCACTCCTCCTTTTTCAGTGGCCAAGCTGCTCATGGGTGGACCCCAAACGGAATCCAATGTGCCATACACACCAAAGGTCAACACCACAGTGGCCGCCATACCACCAAAGTAGACAGCGGTCATGACCTCGCAACTTCCCAAGCGTCAAGGAATTGATGTTCATTGAACCAGTTTTTTCCACCCAGAGATTCCAATCCTCCAGTCTGTTTTGACATGACTGTACTACAAAGAAACCTAGAAGCCGGAGGCCAAAAGAAGTGCGAAAGACGATTTGCCAAGAAGCTGTGCGATTGCCCTTCACTAATGGCCAATTTGTAAGCACCTGGGTCTTGGCCAGTGCATCTCTAGTCTTGACTGGTCAATTCCCTGGTTTATCCTCAATAAACTCTGAAAAAACTGAGCTCACCCGCATGCATCACTATTACGCCACACAGACCTGCGGAGCATGGCCAGTGCGACTTAAGCGACTTACTGCTGTACACTAGGGATCCACAACCTGAATGAATTGCCCAAAAAAGTGTTTGATTGTCCAGCCAGTGTCAGTCGCGCCTGCAACGCCTCCCAAAATGACGATGAGAAAACCTGAAGCTTCGCAGTCTTCACAACCTCCATCCTTCAAACCCAGCGAAACTGAAACAGGAGCACAGCCAAATTAGGCCTTCAAAAAGCTTGAAAATGTGTTTGTCATAATGTACGTGTGTTTTGTCTTCTGTGAAAATGTTGGGAATACACTCAGAGTTCATTGGGAAAAAAAACGTCCAGAATTGACAAAAATCACATTCCAAAAGGGAAGAACCCAAAACCAAAAAAAAACACCGCACGGTACACGCAAGTGCTCCTTCCGCTCTTGTCCATCAGGGCAGCGAGAGCACACCAGGTCAACTAGTCCTTCGCACACCAGGGCCAAACTTCAGATCTTCAGGTTCCCTCCGAAGAGTTCCTACACTTCGAAGAAGTAATTAACATCTCCAACTCCGCCATCATGATCTTTCCACGACCCGGTGCCCCCGCCCTTCAACGGCCGCACAACCTGCGCAGGCTCACTCCTCCTTCGCACGACTCCGGATCACCACCGAGGCAAACATCCTCTTCCTTGCACTTGTAGACCTCGGGAGCACGTGTCTTTTTTTCTCCATCCATGATGGGCACCCATGAGCTATTAGGTTGGAGGCCATCGCTATTGGGTTGAAGGCCATTCCTATTGGTGTTTACCATTCGTCGATCCTTGGTCGACTCGACTCGACCCCTTTCGAAGCAACTGTTTGGACAGCACTTTCTTCCCTCGACGAATGTCGAAAATGCTGTCCCTAGAAGTTCAGTTCGATCTGTTGCACCACTGAAGTGAAGATTCATTTCTGTTCTGGTCATCCCTAAAGAGGATTCGATTGAACTTGTTCCACCCCGAAGCTCACCCTTCAGTCAAAGAAACGCTCAGAGGCTCTTCACGCGTGGAATAAAAGCCAGGCAGCAGCTGAGGATATGGCCTGTTCACCTCACTGCCATGTGATTGCACTTTTGAAAACTCAGAAACTCACATTGGATGCACAACTTCCGAATGCTGATCGCTTGGGGAAAACACCATATCAATCGATCGATTGGGCATATGTCGGCGGAATCTTTGCGCAGGTCTCGTGGCTCTACGGAAGCTATTTGAACTCCAGCCACAGAGTAGGAGGAGTTGGTGCGGTTGTAGAAAGCAATGTCCTTAGGCCGAGGTTTCAAAGCTGAAAGAAATCTAAACTGCAACCTGCCGGAGCTTTGAGGATCACGCCTTCTTTTGAGAGTTACACTCGCTAGGTCCTAGACCATGACAAGAAGAGGGCGGATGCACGAGAAGCTTACGACGTGAATTCAAACAAAACTCTGCTTCACAGATTCCACGGATCAAAACCGAAGACAGGTAGTCTCCTCCTTCTTGGACCTTGTTGCCGGTCTACACACGCCAATCATCCCTCCAGGCAATTCAGCTCAGTTTCACTTCCCACGGCGCACGACATGCCCCTTGGGCAAGCAGCGCATTGTCCTGCCTGCGTCTTGTAGGATTTGGCCTCGCAAACGCCTCGGTCCCCCCTTTGACACGTGAACGTAGCGTCGTTCGGCACAGAACGATGCAAGGTGAAACAGCCCATGGAGCATGGTTGGCACCCTCGAATGTCCTAGGAACACTCGTTTGTCGTCACCAATGGCATGTCTCTTTAGTCCTCCACTTTGGGCAACCAGTGAGCACAACTGACGAGGCGCAGTCCGTCAAATTCTCAGCAGCCATGAAGGCGGTAGTAAGCCCAGCCGGGCATTGCAAACAGGAGTCATCTGCCATGGTCCTTCAGGCTTCACACGATGAGTAGTGCCATGGTGGGAGATACCTGGATATCCCCTGAGTGGGTTGCCCTCCATGCAAAAAGCCCACAGCAGGGTAAACAGAGCAGGGACACTGAAAACTCTTCAGTGGATTGCTGTAAGCGCAAGAAGAAAGCAAGAAGAATTATATGGTGATCAGCTGGCCAGCGGTGCATCCAGTTTCTGGCTAGTTGGCCCCAAATAAATAGATAAGTAGATCCTTAGTAAACATGTATTGGAAACGGTTTCGATCTATTTGGGGATCACTATAGGCCAAAGGTGAGGCCCGTGGTCTCCTGTAGGTGCCCAAGCCGCAGCGCAAGCATGCGGATGAGCCGGTGGTCTGCATCCGAGCCGATGGTTGGACAGCGAGAACGTGCATGTCTTAGACGATCGTATTGACGGAAAGGACAAGTTTAAGCAAGAACAGGTGCCAATGCCAACTATGAATTTGTTCTGCATTCATATCATGCAACAAGCTTTTTTGAACAACTCTTGGAGCTTGTGTCCAAGCTCCCTGCATTCACTTCGACATGCGTGGATGAGCGTTGAGCGTTGTAATTCATTCGGACGACCTCACCGACCGCCGCGCCGCTGCGCAGATGCCTCCGTCTGATACCCCGCGGCGCAGGCGTCGCAGCGCCCGGCGCCGGGCGCGGCGGCGATGCTGTTCTTGGCGCAGCTGCTGCAGTTCGTGGAGCCTGGCGCGACGGGAGGTGGAAAAGACCGAAAGTGGAGTCGGTCTTCAAAGGACCATCACGTTGACCCAAATGCTTTGGTGTCGCCCCGCGGCATCGTGCATTATCGTGCATTCTCAATTGATCACTCATTCCAACGACGTTTATCCCATGCGGCCGCACCTTGCAAGGCATAGGTGCCTGGAAGGCAGAATTCACAGGCAGGTTGACCAGCTTCAGATGTCACCTGAGCAACCCAACCCAAAGCACTTAGGATGCATGGCCATCCCCCGGTTCATGTGCTGTTTCTTGAAGTATTTGTGGAGTGCCATCAATACCAGGAAAGCAAATCCCTCTGAACATTCTGAAAATCTCTCCAGACTTCTACAAGTCAAAGTCAAATCAATTCTTCTTCAAGCAGGTTGGAGACCGCTCTTAGGTTGGAGGCCATTGCTAGTAGGTTGGAGGCCATTCCTTTTAGGTTGGAGGCCACGTTGTGTTCGCATAGGTGACCTGCACACAAAGCCTTGAAGAAAACTTGGCCAAGGGACGGATCCAGCCTGGCAAGGATCGCATTTCCTGGGTTCCGGGCCGCAAAAAGGGGTCTTTTGAAGAAAGACACTCAACGGTTGGAAGACGCCTTCCATTGATGTGTGAGGGAGGACACTCCACCGCTGCCATCTGCCAAGGGTCGTGGGGGTGTTCAACTGCTTGTAGAATCCAGCCTGACAAGGCTGACAACCTTAGACAAGCGAATGGCTGCCCTCCCAATATCTCCCAAGACACTCAAAACTGCATGGAAATGTGTTTTCCACCCTAAATCTGCTCGATCCCCTGCGCTGAAAGTCTGTGTCGGATCCCTTTCTTCGATCCCAGCAGCTGTAGCGAACCTTGGGGTTGCCAAACTCATTGGTGTAGGCTTCCTCAAAGGAAAACTCAACCGGTTCGTTTTGAACACAAACGTCAAAACAGACATCTCTACCACGTCTCCTTAGGGCGTGAAGCTTCAGGACCGAAAACAACTTCGAAGCCAACGGAACGTCCAATGGAAAACGGCGGCCATGTTTTTTTTGCGAAAACGGAACGTCACCGTCCTCGAAGAGTTCGGTTCCATTCCAACACATGGACGGCGGCACCGGGACGTAATCTGCTTGGGCATTGCCTTTCTCTGCAATGCGTTGCTCCATCTTGTTGCGAAGGTTCGCATTTACGGCCTCAACACGACACCCTCAACGGTGGTTTTTGGATTTTGGATTCTTTTCCAAGCAAGAAAGAAATCAAAAGAAATGATGAAATGAGTGCACGTGCATGACCAGGCGCTACATAGCCCACATTGGCCACAGCTTGTTGCCCAGCATCAGTAAAGCCATAAGCCAAGTAAGCATGAGCCCTTTCCCATGCTGAATTGTCCTCAGGCGGACCGTGCCAGGCGCCGCACCGTTGACGGTTAACGCTCAATCAGGGACTTATTGTGACATCGGCCTAAGTCGTCAAGAGAAATCTCGGAACGATCCACCAACATCACTGCCTAAGCTTATACCAAAGGCGTCCTTGCTCCTAGTAGCGATGCCAGGAGTCCCTAGTAGCGTCCTTGCTCCTAGTAGTAAGGCCAGGAGCCCCTAGTAGCTTCTCGTTCCTAGTTCCTACAGAGCAACGTGGATTGCTGCCGTATTCTGCCTTTTTCCATGCCATTGACATCCTCGCATGCCATTGCCTCGTATGTCTTTCTGCGGCCGGGCGACCACATTCATAAAGAGCGATCGGCGAAACACCGCCTGAGGAAACATTGAGGCACAAAGAAGGGGACGGTGCTCCATGCCGAAATGCAAGCTGTTTAGAGCTCCACATGCTTTTTGGTACTATCAGAGATGGCTCTTACATGCTCTTACTATTTTCAGAACACCAGAAGCTGCAAAAGAATTGAGAATAAAACAACAGCATAATTCGAATGTGAAATTCACAAGCCCCATTGGAGGCATAACCTCTTCCTCTTGCTGTGAACGTAAGATGCATGGAGGATGAGCCCAGCACAGAGTCATGTCGCTTCCTTGCTGCCAGGCTCGTCCCACGGTTCGTCCCGCGACTTGGACGAGTTGCATAGGACCCGTCGGTAATCGAGTACGCATTGGGCTCCACTTTGGCATCCAAAGTATCTGCCACTCCTGGCCCCAGCCAAAGCTCGAACACAAACAAAAACGAAGACGCTTCAGTGTCAAACCTCATGAGTTTTCACGCGGCAAAAGTCCCACTGAAAGATGTGACGCCCGTTCAGACTGACCACACAGCCGGAGCTGGAACCTTTCCGCGTTACACCTCGGCTGGTTACTGGAGGCGTTTTCACCTCACATCTCGACCGTCGAAGATCAGTAGCTTTTGCCGAATCGGTGACTCCTTTCACTTGATCTTCGGCGATTCTGGCCACTGTGAGTGTGGCTGAATTCGTGGAGTAGTAGGCGAAGCCGAAGTAAGCAATGCCACCATGGTCCTTCAGAACCCAGTGCAAGATCTTCCTGATCAAGCCGAAACTTGGCCACTTCAAAGCCATGAAATGCCTGGAATCTTGAGGAGTTAGGCAACAAGAGTGAAGGTTCTGCTGTAAAAAAGGAATTGGTGCTTCATAAAGCAACTTCTCCACAGAACACATGATCACCGATCACTTTCAGAACTTTCCCTGAACTGCACCAAAGGAACTCATCATCTTCAGACTCCATGTAGCAATTGACAGGACGCCTCGGCGCCAATGTCACAGATCATCACAGATCTACTACTTTCCGATCAAGCATTTCCTAACATGCCTGGCATAAAATACTCCTGTGCTACTTGAGTCTATTCAAAGCCACACGCCTCAATTTATAGGCCTGTTGCTGGCTGCATCTAAGTCCCATGGCGATGTTGGGACATCTGACTATGTTCACCATGACTGTCTCATTCCATGACCTGTCTGTGGTCATGGATCCAATTGTGTCCAACTCTCCCGTCTGGCTTCCAAGCTACAAAGTCTGAATAAAGGTCGTGATCTCAGCATCCGTCGTCTTGGATTCCAAATCCACGTTCAAATTGTGGGCGCACACCGCAAAGTTCTCCGGCTCTTCGTAGTCTCGGATCCAAAGGCCAGATGATTTGTTTTTGAAAAACATATATAAACGACACCAGCGGGTTCTGTCCGGATGCTTATCACTGGATATTCATCACCCCATGTCCATCAGTCTCTCACAGTCTTACTCAAATGCTTCCACTTCAGCCATGGTGCCTGATAGCACGACCTGCGCAAAAATTGCGTTCACATTGGTATTTGGTAGGTGCTCAAAAGGAGCCGAATACTACATGAAGTGATAAGACACAGCGCTTTCTCCAAGAGCTGCCATTGCCACTCCGAATCTCCACACCACCACGCCATGAGGACGATAACGGCAGCGCCGGGCACGGTAAAAGATATAATTAGGAGTACTCAGTACTCTTCCTAACAGCAATGGCCTCCAACCTACCAGCGATGGCCTCCAACCTAAGAGCGATGGCCTCCAACCTACCAGCGATGGCCTCCAACCTAAGAGCGATGGCCTCCAACCTACGAGCGATGGCCTCCAACCTAAGAGCGATGGCCTCCAACCTACCAGCGATGGCCTCCAACCTACTAGCGATAAGGTCGACGCTCCGTGCCTCTGCAAAGAAGTCGTGAGTGCCGGACTGCGTGCCTGGGCCATAAGCGTTGATGGGTACCTGGCAAGTTCACAAAGAGGTCGGGACTCGGGTTCTCTCTTGAGGTATGTATATATATATATAAATTGATTGTATTACGTATATAGATAAAAATGCTACATGTATGTCTTTCCTTCTCACAACATTCTCTTTGGAGATGCGGGTACCAATTGTTGAGTTGGCAAAGAAGTTTAGGTCCAAACGAACCATCGAGTGAACTTGAAGTGATGAATCCGTTTTTTGCTTTTCAATCCACTCCCGTCCAGGCATGAAGCTGAGGTGAACAAGCCAGATGCTCCTCTTCGCAGTCTGCGTGAAGATCACCTCAAGTCTCCCACAGGTGGCAAAAATGGGTGTGGTGAGTGGTGTCTGAGGTTAGGAATTTCAGCAATGACATTGCTTCCAGTAACAAGTGCCACGCTAGTAGTAACAGGTTCCTTACTAGTAGTAACAAGAAGCTATGAGGTTTAAAAAGCAAAAAACGTCGTCCGCTCACTTCGTCTGAGGATTCGGAAAACTATCGTCCCGTGACCCATGCCATCTCCCACGCGCGGACGCGACTCCAGCGCTATGACGCGACTCCCCGATTCCCTCAAAAGCACTCAGAGCGATGGCCTCCAACCTCTCGGTTCACAGCAAAGCCACTCCACTCCTTGATGTTGTCACCGTCGTCGTTCGGGACCACCTTGCACACAAACGCTCCCTCTTTGGAAATACACAACAAACATCAACAAACTACAATACAAACTGACAAGAACCTTTAGTGAATTTGGTGTCGTCTAGCTCATCCAAAGAGAGAGCCTATTCAACATTAACTCACCTTCTTTCCAGGTCCGTACCCCTGAACCAATTAAGTCAAAAACATCGCTATTCAGCTCCAAAAGAAAGCCAAGCAACGGAGGAAAGGTCAACACCTCCACTCGCAAGTTGAGAATTGCTGTAGTCACTGAACATCCAACCTGTAGTCACTCAACACACCACTCTTCGGTGCTACGGAGCAATGAATCGGATGAATGACCCAATTCTGATTGAAAGATATGTGCATATATATATATATGTAATTTTATTTATATATTTAGATATAGATATTTATATGATACATATTACATATCAATCAAAGAAACATGTCTAAAGCAGTATGACTACATATTCTAGAAAGTCCGATGTCCAGGTGCATTGTTTATCCATTGGACTTTCTAGAATGTCTATGCCTCCGAACTCTGAATCCACCAAGCGTCGGAGCTGTGCACGTGTCAGACCACCCAAAGTGGCAGTAAGACAATTGTGGCCGGCACTGTTCCTGAGACGCAAGGAACCTCTTCAATCCAAAGGCTAAAGCATCCATTCCATGATTTGCGCTTAGATACAAGCACTGGGAACCTTCGAAAAAATCGCGCCAACCACACCCGGAGCCCGGTCTGTGCCAACTTCTCTGTTCGCCCAACCGCCACCACGGCACTTCGCCGCCACCACGGCGAGACCATCCACGCCCACCTGGATTTGCGTCACTCGCTGCTTCGTGGCCTTGCACTCCAGGGTGTATCCATCGTCCAAGCGTACGGCCTCTCCGCGTTGGATGGTCTAGCCGTGCGGTTGATCGGCACGTTGGATGGTCCCGCGTTTGCTCGGTTGCTTCTCGGCTTGATTTCTCGGTTGGGTTCGAGTTTGCTGTCTTATGTTAGAAGTGTGGAGTCAGGATTCTAAGTCGTACAGTAAGTCTCTCTTCCAATAGGCTTTGGAGATATTGTTATGAACTCTGAAGCATGACTTGCAGACCGGATCCTCTAAAAAGAAAATCAAGAGCTTGCTTACTGCATGAGTGGTTTCCTTCATGACAACCACGGATCTGGAGCATCTGACACCGTTTCTGCGTGCCTCCTTGTCTCTCCAGTTCCTGGGACAGATCGATTTGGTCAAAACAAATGAAAGGTCAGTGCGAAGTTCACAAAATGTCAACTGAGTTCGTGCTCTGCATCTACCTATCTTTGCGTGTGCAAGTTGAGGGCGGGATGGCACTCACTCGGCACTCTCAACACAAGTAGACCAGAAACACCGAGCTTTCTGCTAGACCCGCAAGGTATTGGAAGAGGGAAACAAAGGCTGATCAACCCTGGCCATTCTTGAGCTTCTGATGCATACATCCTGTTTGTCCTACTCCAGGGAGATCAACCACATGAAAGTTCAAGTGAAAAAAAACTGAAGAAAGTGTGTATTGATTGTATTGGACTTAGGAATTAACCCGAAACAAACATGAAAACGAATACTCGATACTCTGGAGAACATGAGGATAACAGGATAACCAATTGACTGTCTACATCTTCAGCACCACGAAAAGACCCACAAAATCGGCTCCTGCCTGGACATGGTCCCAATGTCCACATGGGTTGAGTCGTTGTAGGGTGCGCACACACGGCGGGCGCCCGTGCTGGAACCACCTGAAGGGTTTGAAAAGCGACGGTTTCCGGGCGATTCCGTGCATCGTCAAAGCAAGTGAGCAAGTTTGTCAAAACAAGTCAAGTTTGGATGATTTTGTTTGAAATTAAGAATATTTCCTAACAAAGCACCTCCTTCCACAGTCAGGGAGTATGCGCTCTGAATCGACGGTACACTCGCCCAGCCGCTGACGACCTGAGCAGTCTCCAATGAGTCCAAACCAAAGAGAACGGGAGCAAAGCGGTCTTTGTCAGCTCAAAAAGGGATAGCAACGAAGTGGAAAAAACACCAAAGAAACACATCGTTTCTCGCGTGTTGAGCAGTCCGTGATCATTCATACGACTACGACAATCCTGCACAATCCTGCACATCGTTATACTCGTAGGAAGGGTCCATGAGCGCCGAGACAGAGCGTTCGCAAGTTCGAGACCAAAGAAACACTTTGTTGTGGCCGGGGTCATTTCAATCAACAGACCCATACCTCGACCTCAACTCTTCTTCTGAGTAAGTTCGATCATCTCATTTCTTCCCATCTCATCTCCCTTCGTCCACTCCCACTTATCTCAGAACATGTTCTGGGATGGTCAGCCTCGCTGTTCATCTAAACTTGCCCCTTCTTCTGGAACTGAAGTGTCAACAAGCAACGAAAGAACACCCAAAGCCCAAAGGGGTCAAACGTGTTCGGGACCACTATAATTCTGTATGACTGGTTTGGTGAAGGTGGCAAATGCATACGACATGGCCCAACCATCTTGCAACAGGTGGGAAGGCAATACTCCGAGCCAATTGTCAGCCCCGGCACCGGATAGACAGTGGACGAGCCAGCAACTGTCAAGGTCGTTTGTGCCACACTCTGAGAGCTCCAAGTAGCCTTGACACACATTGAAGGCAGGATGTGAACATCTGCACTAATAGCGATGGCGATAACCTCCACCCTACTAGCGATGACGTAAAGATTCGGAGTCTAAAAATAGAGTTCTTCTATGTTGCTTACTGGATGTTCCTAGTAGAGAAACTGCTAGTAGTAAGGCCAGGAGCCCCGTTCGTAGCGTCCTTGCTCCTTTAAAGAAGCCTTCTCAGTCTTGCTCTTCTCTGCTTCTGTCCAAGCCGAGACATGGAGAAAAAGGAGTCGAGAAGAAGAGAAAGCAACGTAAGAAAAGCATCATCCCTTCGGCCCAAATCTGTTCGGCCTTGGAAAAGCCCAGTCTGGTCCCAAAGCATCTAGCCCTAGCTGCCCAAACCGAGGACTCCGAAAGGCCCCAGCTGGCAGTCTTTCCCTTCGGCTAGCAGACCAGGGGCACAGCTGCCCCTGGTAGCACAAATCGATCTCGTCTATGGTCAAATGAAAAGGAACCATCCTTTGCCAATCGTCCTTCGACTGTCATTCTCAAAAAGCATGGAGGACGTCGGTGCACCAGGAATCCGTCGCATAACATGGTTCAGTTTATGAATAAACTTCTTCGTACCAGCCGCAGAATCCAAATCCGCCCTCGTTCGGTTTGTCTGAACTTCACTCGCCGTGTAGCCCAAAGGATAAGGCCAAAACCTCGGTCTATGATCAGTCGAGTGTGTCCACAGGAAG